ATTTGATAAGCAAATTATCTCTTTTTGTCTTTATTGACTATCACAATGTTTATAATGTTTGTCTCTGTTTTCTAATTGTTTCAGCAAGTGAAAAAATTCCTTGATAATTTATATAAGGACTTACACAGGATTTCATACGAATAATCGAATCTGGTAAACACGTATTCGATCCCTTCTGCCCTTACAGCATTAGAACATGTAGCACATGGGGTTACACACAGTTTCACCAAAGCCAATCAGCAAAGGCAATGCAGAAACAGAAATACAGAACATAAATGTGTGGATGTGTGAAAGACGGCCGTCAGCATGAATGGAAAGAATGTATGTGTGTGTGTGTGAATCCAAACAACAATACCTCAAATAAAACACAGTAAACTTTGCCTGCACCTGCTATCAACACTAACCCTCAAGATCTCTCCTTAAATAAAAGGGGGGGAATACGGGATAAACTCCAAAGGAACATATTGCTGAAGCCTATATTAAAAAATTTAAATTGAACACAAATGATGTAAAATCTCAGGGAAACCCCCCAATTATAATCAAAAATTTGCAACCAAGCCAGTGGAAAAGACCATTTCCCACCATAACATGGGAAAGAAGGGTATATGTATGTTTCTGCAAGTTTTAGTTCAAAATAGATGGGTTAAACCAGCATTGCCACAGCCTGATGCAAAGCTTTAACCTTTTTGGGGATCACTTTAAGAGATGAGGGTTAGATAGTAAAGTTAAATAAATACATGTTGCAGTTAGGATTGGTTTACATTTTTATACTATACCTATTGAAAGGTTTACAATGTTTACAATTAAATGAGTGTTCTTAAAAAATATTAAAGAAGGGGGATTTGTGGGGATTAAAGCCTGGAAAAAAACAGACCTTGCAGAGAACAGAACAACTCATTACAGAAGTGAGTTTGTAGCACGGAAAACTGCCCCCCCAGGTGACAGCTAGCAGCCAATCGGATACTGTGGTCACACTTTTTGCCTTATAAGGAATGTTTTTCTCTTTGTGTTTGGTTATAAAATGGCTATGACCCCCAATAAACTTGTCTCAGTTTCTTCCCACACTGGGTCCGTGTCCTGAATGTCTTGCAGGTTCCCAGGTGTATTCATTGTTCCTGCAGAAACTCCTGGACTTTTTGTAAATGTTTTTTAGATTGTGACCTTTTGATTTGCTGGGATTGTGCTCGGCTTTGGATCCACTCTGCTGCTCAGACCTGTCTGTTCCTGCAGTTACCCAGAACCAGCTGCTCTAATCCGACAGCAGTTTTGCTTCTGAGCAGTTCTGGCCTTTGTATTTGTTTTGGAAGAACAATTCCAGAAGGAGCGGAGGTTGCCAGAGCAGGAGATGCATCTCCCGGGTGTTCAGGCTTCCCTGGAGTCAGATACCATTCATCCAGAAGCTGAGCTGTCACCCCATGTACTCCCCTGCTGAGGGAGGATTCCCCTCTCTGGATACCCCTGTCCATCCCAGGACAGTCTGTCTGGCTGTCCCTGAAGTGTCCTGAGTTGGGAATTGCTGGTTTTTTATGGACTTGTTCCTGGGGCCGGGAGAGCTCCCTGCCAGCCTCCCCTGGGAGCTGTATCCCAGAGGGAGAGGGGTGGCTGTGCCCTTCCTCAGCTGCACCACAAGAGCCCGGCTTGCACTGTTCCTGTATTCTGTGGGATGGGTTTTAATTCCTGTTGTGAAGCAACAGCTTTTCCCTGGGCTTTGCTAAGCGGGGACTCTGCTGACAGGAGGAACAGCTTGAGTTCCCTCTGCTCGTGGCATTGTCAGAAATGGATGGAGATGGGTCATGGTCACACTGCTTTTGATGTTGAAGAATGCTGAGCCCAGCTTGACACGTCAATCCCAAAACCCAACATCCCAGTCCAATTATCAGAAAAAAATTATTTATTTTCCCTATACAAATTGATTTGGTTTGCCAAAATTAATTTTGTGGGACAGAGTCGCATAAAGGCTCAATTCCAGCTCTGCAATCCTTCAGACATGAATGCCTGAATGTCTGGGGCTGGGATTGGATCCAGCTGCTCCCAGGATCCTCTGGGGAGTTTGGAAAGTTTGTCAGTCCTGCCTGCACCCTGTGACCCAACAGGAGGGGCTCTCTGATAACCCTTGTCCAAAGCTCCCGTTCTGCTCATGACACTTGGTCACTTTGTACGTTGTATGGAACAGGCGTATTCCGATGGGCCGAGTGTCCCTCGGGGCTGTGTCACAGGGGTGGTAACCTTTCCCACCTGCAGCTGATGTTCAGGTCGGAGCAGGAGTGTGGGTGCCTCAATTCTTCTGTTTCTAGGAGACCAACCATGTTAACCATAATCTGTCCTTACAGAAACAGGTTTTGGGAACAGATCCTACCGAGGGTTTCAAAAGAACATGGGAGGTGCCCACGGGCTGCTCCTCACCTGGGGTGGGTGATGGGTGCTGAGGGAACTGGGGTGCTCAAGGGGTGAGGGAATGGGAGTACCAGGGTTGCTGGGAATGCACAGAGGGCCTCCAAGGTCCTGGGGTGCTGGGGAATGCACAGCATCGGGTGCCATCTGGGGTGCTGCTCCCAGGTGCTACTGGCTGAGTCCTCAGGACAAAACTGGGGACAGCTCCTGCTCTGGGAACAAGCTGCGGAATGGCTCCCATCCCACTGATCCTGCGGGCTCTTGGGTCCACCTCACATCCCTGGGAAGTTTTTGCTTGCAGGCAGCCCCACTTTTCATTTTGACTTTCTGCTTTCTGTGCATTGCACCCACACACTGGGGTGCCCTGAGGTGTGCTGGGAGGCAGGGAAAGTAGTGGGGTCCTTCAAAAAGATGCCCCTGGGGAGAAATGGGGTAGAGGAGCTTGTACAGTTGTGCCAAAGAAGCAGGGACGGTCCTGGGAAAGGAGTGGTGGCATAAAGACAGGAGACCTGTGGGGGCCCTTGCAGGGAGGAAATGGGTCTGACCATTCTATGGGGAACCCGGGCTCTGGCCCCAGAAGTTCAGGTTCAAGCAGGGAGCAGGTGGAGCTGCTCTTTTGTGGGTCACACCCATGGGGTTCTGCCAACCTCCCTCCTGCAGGCTCAGCACTGTGGGACAGAGTGGCCAGGGGGGGGACAGGGCCAGCAGGGCCAGCAGGCCCTGGGCACAGGGAGGCCCCGCAGTGTCACAATGGCCCCTTGGCTCCAGGAGGCCCCAGATGCATCATCTGCCCTGTCCTGGACACTGTCTCACGTCTGCCCAGGGGATGGCAGAAATCTGCCCCTGCTGAGCTGTTCCCGTGGGCCAGTCAGGGGAGCAAAGCAGCACCACCAGACTGCTAAGGCTCCAAAAGCTCCTTGAACTCCACAACTGAAAACCCCCAGAAACTGCTCCCACTGCAGAGGTGCCAGCACAGAAAGCTGGTGCTGGCCTTGACTTGTCCTGGGCAGCCTCTCATCTGCACCTGAAACACTGGGGCTGGTGCTTTCCTTCCCAACTAAAGTTACCAAAACACACTTTCACTCAGGAAAGAGCCCAGCTTCAAAACTGAAACCCTCCAGTGACTGCTCCCACACAAAAGATGCCAGGACAGAAAGCTAGCACTGCTCTTCACGTTCCTCCCACTCTTTCTCAGCAGCACCACCAACAGAGGCTCCCTGAATCTGAGTTCCCAGTTCACAAAATTTACCACAACAGCAGTTAAAACAGCTGCTTGCAGTGTGGCTGTTGGGTTGGCAATGTTGAGTACTGCAGCTGTTAGTGGGGCCAAATCAACTGGAACTTTAAAAATTCCGTTTTGTGCTGCAGCGGAAGTTGAGTATTGTGGTACATTAGTGGTGTTTGAGTCAGGGAGTGCAGGTTCTGCACAGAGTAAATGCGCCATAGGGTCCTGATTTCCTTTAGGGTTGGGGTTGATGTCTGAACTGAAGGACAGCATACTGCTATCCAGCATATGCCACCTTTGACCTTTCACAACATAGAAACCCAGAATGTTTTCGCTGGGATCTCTAATTTCAGTGTGAATACTGGCATCTGCTTCTTGCCTGGAAGCCAGGAATGAACCTTGGTAGTTCAGCACATGGCACTTACTGCAGGGATTCTCATAGAATCACAGAATATCCTGAGGTGGAAGGGACCCACAAGGGTCATCGAGTCCAACTCCTGGCTCTGCACAGGACACCCCAGCAATCCCACCCTGTGTCTGAGAGCATTGTCCAAATGCTCCTTGAGCTCAGACAGGCCTGGTGCTGTGGCCACTGTCCTGGGGAGCCTGTTCCAGTGCTCAACTACCCTCTGGGGGAAAAGCCTTTTCCTGATATCCAACCTCCCCTGACTCAGCTCCAACTGTTCTCTCAAGTCCTGTCACTGGTCTGGAGAGTAAAGAGATCTATACCTGCCCCTGTGCTGCCCCTCAGATGGATGTTGAAGACCCCAGTGAGGTCTGAACTCAGTCTCCTCTTCTCCAGCTGAACACACCAAGTGCTCTCAGCCACTCCTCATAAGGCTTCCCCTGCAGACCCTTCCCCATCCTCGTGGCCTTCTTTGGATGCTCTGTAGTGGCTTCATGTCTTTTTTATTTTGTGATGCCCCAAAATGCCACCAGAACTCGAGGTGAGGCTGCCCCAGGTCAGAGCAGAGCGGGACAATCCCCTCCCTGTCCCGGCGGGCGATGCTGGGCCTGATGCCCCCAGGCCAGGGTTGTCCCTCCTGGCTGCCAGGGCACTGCTGACTCCTGGCCAAGTGGGCACCCCCCAGGACCTCCAGGGCCCTTCCCACAGCTGCTCTGCAGCCTCTTGTTCCCAGTCTATACCCACAGCCAGGGTTGTCTGGAAGAGGAGGAGGAGAAAGAGGAGGAGATGGAGAAGGAGGAGGAGGGAGAAAGGAGGGAGAAAGGAGGAACAGGGAGAGAAGGGATGCAGCAGAAGGAAGAGGAGTGGGAGGAAGAGAAGGGGGAGCAGGAAGAGGAGAAAGGTCACAGTTCCACCACTTGCTGCTGCCCATTGGAGAATCACGTCCCTCACATCCTGCAGGTGACCAGGGAGGTGGAGCTCACCCCAAATATCTTGGGGGGTCCCTGGGATTTTTTTTTGGCGGGGTGTAGTGGGTTTCTGTGGCCAGGGTTTGGTAGTGGGGAGGGCTATAGGGGTGTCTTCTGTTAGAAGCTGCCAGAAGCTTCCTCTCTCTGGTGAAGCCAACACCAGCTGACTCCAAGATGCACTTCCTGCTGCTGGCCACGGCTGAGCCAATTAGGAGTAATACTAATGCCTCTGTGATAACATTTAAGAACAGAAGGTTGTTGTGCAGTGAAAATTCCAACCAGGGGAGAGCTGAGTGGGAACGTGAACAACAATGCAGACACCAAGGTCAGTGCAGAAGGAGGGGCAGGAGGGGATCCAGGTGCCGGAGCTGAGGCCCCTGCAGCCCGTGGTACAGACCATGGTGGGGCAGCTGTGCCCCTGCAGCCTCTGGAGGAGCATTGGGGTGCAGAGACCCACCTGCAACCCATGGAGGAGCCCATGCTGGAGCAGGTGGATGCAGGAAGGAGGCTGTGACCCCGTGGGAGGCCCAAGATGGACCAGGGTCCTGCCAGGGACCTGCAGCCCTTGGAGAGAGTAATCCACACTAGAGTAGGATTTTCCTGGGTAGGACTTTTGGCCCCTGTGGGGGACCCACGCCGGTACAGCTCATTGGTGAAGGGCTGCACCCCATGGCAAAGTGACCCATGGGACAGCAGTTTGTGAAGAACTGTTGCCCCTAGGATGGACTTACACCGGAGAGGTTTATCAAGGACTATCTCCCGTAGGAGGGACCCCACGGAAAGCAGAGGAATGACTTGTCTCCCTCAGCAGAGGCAGAAATATCATCTCACTATAACCCCCATTCCCCATCCCCCTGCACCACTGGGGGGAAGGAGAGAGAACATGGAAGGAAGGAGGGGTGGGGGGAAGGTGGTTTTAAGATTATTTTACTTCTCACTCTTTTGCTCTGATCCTGTTAGTAATAATTTTAAGTAATGAAATAGAAATATGCCCACTTTGAGATTGTGTTGCCCATGAAGGTGATCAGTAAGTAACCTCTCCCAGCTCTTATCTCAATTCATGAATCCTTAGCTGTTTTTCTCTCCTCTCTCCAGTTGCAGATGGGAGTGAGAGAGTGGCTTTAGTGGGTACCTGGCATCAGGCCAGGGTCAACCCACTACAGGGGGAATATTTGGAGCTTGGAGAACTCTAAAGCTGAGCTGCAAACACCCCTTGGGATGACCCTGGGGGGTCCACAGGAGGTGGGGTTTTTTTATGGGGTTCTAGTGGTGGCTGCTGGCAGAGCCCTGGTGGTGGGGAGCAGGATATGGGGCCAGAGATGGGAGACTCACCAACAGCCTGGAGAGCACAGTAGTTTAGCTTAAGCCTTCCTGGTAACCAGGAAGGAACTAGGAAAGTGACCAAGGAAGTATTCCACCTATTCCTTTACATAAACAGACCTATAAATATAAGGGGAGGAGGGATTTACCCTGTCTTCTCTTCCGGCGAACCTGGGAGACAGCAGGTGCCTGCGGTTGGTCTCGCTTATCTGGGAGTTGAGGCCTGCTCAGGCTTGTTGTTTGCCACGCGGGAGGTGGAGGGTGCTGGCAGTGTCCTGCTTTTCTCAAGGCAAGTATTGAGATTTCATTTTGCTAGTTCTTAATTTTGCTAGTTCCCGGGTTTCTATTGTGCATATCTGTTTTGGTTTTGTCCCTTTTCGTCCATTTTCACTTTCCCTTTCCTTTTTTTGGGTTTTTTTGGGGTTCTCATGTTTATATGTACATAGTATTCTCACTGTATATAACAGTGATATATGTAAAATATATATTTTTGCTGCAACTCTGCTATTTTGGTTTTTTCCTCTTTCTGGGAAGTAAGGTTTTTTTTCGCTGGGTCTTGGAGACTTGGCAGGAAGCCAGGTCCAAACTTACACACC